ATCTTTGCTCCTTATTTAAGATTCAAAGATCTTTATATCATGATTATTATTATTATTAGTAGGAGGAGGAGGAGGAGGAGGATCAGTATTAAGCGGAACCTTTGAAAGGCGCTGTTGTTTCACGTCGGCGATGCAATCCTGACTGTCAACAAGATCTGCTGCGGAAGCTGCTTCTCTAGTTGCACATGTTGGTACATTTATAGTATTTTATACTTGTATTAACTATTTTCCAGGTCTCTACATGTGTTTTAAGAGTCTGTGGCAGAATAGTAACTGAACAACATTCAACTGAGTCAGACAAAGTCGATTAAGGCAAAACTATCAAGCTCGTAGCTGACTTCCGTTGTCAGATTATGCTTCGAGTTTGCCAGCAAAGCTAATAGTTTGTGACTAACAGTGAACATTGGGGATATAAATGTCGCTTATTTTGTTTGCCGAGTCGAAGAACAGATTCTACAAATGCAGTCAATGCTCTAAACCAGAATCTATCTCATAAGTGTATTTGATTATATGCTCGGAGACTTTAAAAGTCGTAGATTTTTCAATTGAGCTTGGTTTGATTTTCATTTTAGATCCATTCAAAAACCTGTAAGTGTCAGAAGATAAAATAACATATTTACTTGTACTTATGAAAGTACTTCTATTACTGTCTTCTTAAAGAATTGAACAACAATTCAATGCAGGCATATTTGATGCATGTTGCTTGTTGCACTGAATTGTTGCTGAATTTCAATGTGGATGATGTTCAAACAATAATATCTACTACGAGTGTGTGCTGAGAATCAAGGGAATCTTAAATCCAGTCTTTTTTGAGTGGAGTTTGGTGGGACACAAGCGAGAAGGGTGCGTGTCAGGACGGCATCCTCCCCTGATAACCTCTAACCACTGGCATCCGTGTCCAGCTTTGTATGGCTGTATATTGTTGTCATAAAGTTACTGATTTGGTATTTTTGCGATTTCCAAATTGGCATGAGTCACCCTCTGAAACGCTCGCTGTGCCTCTAATGCCACTGACGAGAAATACCTCTTCTCTTTCCCAGAAAAAAACCCCCATAACAGATCAACAGCGAGGAGCCGGTAACCCACAGGAGCTGCAGCTGTGGTCTCCCTCTCCGGGGCAAGGGGGTGATTATGTGGCCGGGACGGCGTCTGTAACGCGGCTTTTAACAGATCTCAGTCCAGGCTTAGAGGGCACATTCCTTGGAGGTGAGCGATTAAACACGTTTGATAAAGAGGAAAATTACACCGTGTTATGGGTGTGGGTGTTCATAGGCATCTACTTCCAGTTTGTTTGGAGCCTTTAACTTTACACCACATTCTGAACTGTCCCATGAGTGTGTAAGTGAGCTGCATATGTATATATATGTATGTATATGTATGTATATATATATATATATACACAAATATACACAATACCGTCCCTATATATATATATATATACATATAATAATAACATTACTTTTTCTTCTAATATGATGAACATTCTTCACCATTTTCTGATGTTTATATCAAAAGGTTTACCAGTTCATTGAGAAAATAAATAAAACCAGGATACAATTAATTTGAAGCTCTGTGATTCGATGTGTTTCACAGAGATTCACCTCTGGATTTGCTGTCAACTTCTCCCCTTCAGCTTTTATATCCACACAGTTGTTTATCTCCTGGACTCTCTCCATCGCCTAACAGTAATTTGGATCTCTTTTCCCGATTAGTGTGTTAATTTCATGTTAATTCCACGATGGAGGTGAACGGAGCCCCCGCTGACGTCCTCCTCCAGCGCCCCTGGCTTCCTGTGGGCATCAGCGGCTGCCAGCTCCTAGCTAAGATCTGGTTTGGAGACTCTGCGTACCACATCCTGCTGACTGACATGAGCTGCGTATGGGAGGAGAGGATGGACTCAGCCGCCATCCACAGACGATCACAGGTGCTTATCTTCTATTAAGCCATTTTCCGACATGAAATCTGGAGAATGTCCGCAGAATTGGGTCCAAGCTTTCGCTGGAGTTTGCCTTTCACACACCAACAATTCAGATATTTTCCAGAGCTTTTACTTGGGGGTGCTGGCACGAGAAACTTTTCTCACAATACCGTCCCTCCAGAGAATATCAAACTAAAAACCTTGATAATAGCAGGGCATCAAACTGGCATGGTTTTCCAAAGTCAAGACTAAAAAACTGAATCATGTTTTCTTCCACCAGGAGCTGAACAGGCGTTTGCGAGCCCCGGTCAGAGCTTTCTTCTCCCACCTGTGTGAGGTGGCTCAGCCCTGTCTGTCAGGAAGCAGTGAGCGAGCCGACAGCGCGGCTCTGATCTCCCTGATGCGCCAGGAACACGACAACATCAGCATTAAGCTGAAGAGCGAGCTGGCGGGGCTGCCCTTCTACTGGGAATTTCGCTGCACCCCCGCCCCCGTCACACTGGTACGCTCCATGTCTTTAGTTTAGGTCAGATATTTGCCACCCTGTCGCTGAGTTTGTATCCTCAAATTCATGTTCTTTGTCACTCCCACTACATTTGAGCATTTACACCCCAGATGTTTCTAACTTCATCAAACATTCAATTAAGGGATTTTTTTATCAGAAAATTCAAGGATTAGATTAATTATGATTAGTTGATTTTCTGCTTTACTACACAAGTGTTTGTGTGACAGTACAAACAATATTGTTCTTAAACAACCAAATTATTTCAATTGTAAATTCAATTAGCTTTGAGGGTTTTTTATGCAAATTATTGAATTTAATCAACGATAAAATAATCATATTGTGATTTTTTAGGGGAACTCCAGAATTTAATGCAGTAAATTAAAGTGTATTTATAGCAAACTATATAAAAAGCATACAAAATCATTTTAAGTACAAACATTCTGATAATCTTAAAGAGAATTGGGAACTATATGTATATGAATCATTAAAAATAGTGAAACACAAAAAATCACATTAAAGTAATACAAAGCATCACAGTTGCTTCTTTCACTTCATCTGGTTCACAGGTGTGTGTTCAGCTGCTGCGCCCCCTGCTGGCGATGAGCCGCCTGCTGCAGCGGCAGGTGGAGCAGCTGGGAGGTCTGCTGGTGAAGAAGGACACAGAGATCCAGGACTACAGGGAGAACGGAGCCACGCTCAGCAGAGGTATACACACACACACACACACACAAAATGTCATCGATAGTGCTATTATTCTAATACATCTCCAAACAGTAGAATCCTCCGAATACAGACTAAATGGTCTAAAATAGTCCTACTTATATTTATATTTATTTATGTTTTGCATTTAAATCTAAAAAGACAAAACCAGCAAGATAAAAAATGTGGGTTAAAAAAATCAAAATAATATTTAACTTTGTGCTACTCATTTGATTTTCATCCACATTTCTTAGTGCTGATTTTCTTTTAATATTGAGAGTAAATACTTCAAATAAATTTGCTGGTCGACATCCATGGTCATGGCTGTGAAACAGGGGTTTAGTAGTTTAAACTATTTTAAAATATCAGCAATATACAAAATGCGGTTTAAAAAAGAAATCAGGTTCTCCTTTTATTAACTCCTTACGGCTTCTCCTTCATATCTCTCCTTGACCTTGGGACTTTTTCCATCACCGTCAAGGAATAGTGGTTAGGGAAGTTGAATTTAAGTCACCTTCCACATATTCAGGTGAGCACAGATGTAAATGTTGAGCATTAATATTCAGTATATATACATATTATTAAGGATTTTAAAAAACTCATAAGAGCGGAAAGTAATTTAATGCAACAAAAATATATATGATTTTTTCTTATCACCTGTTGAGCAGCAGACAGTGAGAAGGTTATGTTTTTTTATGCTCATAGTCCAAGTATGTGTGTTTGAACCCAGAGCGGCTGCAGACGGATGTTTTTGAGGAGCAAACCTACCAAGAAAACTTCATGACAAAGGTGAGAGGTCAGCGACAACACACACACACACACACACACACACACACACACACACACACACACACACACTCACACACACTCACACACACTCACACCGCAGCCCTCGGTTGCCCTTTTGTTTTGGGTCTGTTTTTACCGTCCACTCTCCTCCATTCCTGATCGTTAACCGGCTGTGGTGAGCGCGGCGAGAACCACATGATAAAACACTGCGGCCGCTGGAACGCGCAGCTCTCTGTATGACTGAAACACGAGCTGCCGTGACCAACTTTAAAGTAGCTGCACGTTACCGTCCTGTCAGAGCCATCGGCTCATTTTTCAGTGTGTGTGTACTTACTGTATTAACGTGTGAGATTTCTCAACTCGGACTGTGATGAGCTCTGACTGATTGTGTGTGTAAGACCAGGCATTTCAGATCTACCTGTGGAATTTTCAAGGGGAGTCTGTCTGCCCCCTCCAGGTTTATTTATAATATTAGGGCTTGGTTATGGCCAGAAATGACATCATGATGAAAACTCATATCAGTCAATATCTATAATTACCTCATTACTAGAATTATCACTACAAATCTACAAATTATTATTTCTTTCAAGTTGAAAGACTAATCTTTGCTTCCGGGTGAAGGTGGTGGTTTTAAACCCGTCATGGGCAAACTGAGGAATCAATGTGTTATACCTCCTAACTTGCCCAATGCATAAGCAATATATCAATATATATTGATGCAATTGATGAGAATTAGTTTTCTTGCCCAGCCCCGATTGATTATTATTCTTTTAGCAGATTAGTAGATCGATAAACGCACAATTTCTTGGGTCAATTTTTTTCATATTTTGAAGTTTAAAAAATATTGAGGCTGTTTAAAGCCACATTCTTGTCTGTGCGTGGAAATAGTGTCCAACTCCGTGTGGAGGTCATGACGTTTTTAAAGATTACAATCTGGGAAATTGGATGTGGGGAAATTTCCTCTCATGGGGGTAGAGGAGAAACACACTGTAGCGTAATTCAGAGTTTTTTTGACTCATCAGTTGCATCATTTGGTGGTTTTCAGAAAGGAACCCGGCCTGTTTGTTGATGCTGTTTGTGTGTAAGGATAAACCAGGAAAGAATCACACTTACAGGAGGTGGAAAGGCTCCAGCTCCAGGTACAAGGAGTCATGGAAAGTTACATCAAGGTCACAGTGGCGGCTCTGTTTTCAGCTTTTTGGTGATGGTTGAGGAGGGTGGGCGCCCAGCGAGAGACCACAGAAGAAGAAGAAGAAGAGAGAGAGAAGAGGAACACTGCGGTGGATCAAAGTCCTCTCTCTCGTGGCAAATTCCACCGGGCTGCGAGGAGTCTGCCTGCAGACCAAAGTCCAAGCTGAAATAAAACGTGTCTGGGGAAAAATGTCACTGGGATGCGTCAAAGGAAGAATCCCACACAGGACGAGCCACTGTGTGTGTGTCAGAGAAAGAGTGAAGGCGTTTGGCATCGGTGTGTTGTATTTATCTATCAGGGTAGGGCCTTTGCATGCTGTCTGTCCGCCCAGTGACTTTTGCTTGAGTTGCTGTCTGTGTCTGTCTCCATGGCAACATTTTGCCCTACCCATCAGTGCTTCAAATTGAGCAGAGCTCTGTAGTGTGCTAATCAACAGGTCGATCAAGAACAAAATCAAAACTCAAGGTTCACTTCCTAGCTTTCTGCAAAATAACCAAGACAATTGTATTGATGTTGAAAGCGCCAGAAAAAAACTGGATATTCTCCTCTAATTTTCCGGAGAGCCTGTATGTGAGAACACAAAGGTCAGAGACAGTTGCCCTGGACTTTCTCTGGAGTTTTTCTGGCATGTTGATGACTTTGTTAACATGCGACAGATGCAAAACTGAAAAAAACCCGAAAAGAATATGAATATCTCCAAATGAAAAGAGGAGCCACACACAGAGAAGATGCAAACGAAGACTACAACTTGAAAAGACTATGAGATCAAGATCAAGAGCTTTTGGCGATAAGCTGATGCTAGAGTCATGTGATATCCGCAACTGGACTGAGTTCACATCTGACAATGACTGAAAGGGGATTTTCTCAGTGCGTTATCATTGTAAACAGAATATTTTTGTGCTTTAGTCTGATAAGTCTTCTCTCGAATTTCTGCGAGATCAAATCATTAACCAGGGGACTGCAAAAAAATCAGGATTTTAAATGCTTTTACTAAAAGTATTTTTGGTTACAGGCCAAGTGTGAACGCCTGATGTTTTCTTCCGGGTGCTTAAACATAATGATGTCACAACCTGAGCTGTGTTTCTGCGCAGAACTTGGCAAACTCTTTTCTCTTTGCTACCACTCTTAAAGTGGGACTGGCTTCCCAAGAGTGATATCAATCCTCCCTACGTCAGAAAATGAACAAGCCTATGTTCGAAAATGTAGTTTATAAGTAACTAACAGACATATCAGAGTCACAGGTACAACACAGAGTCTGTATGTGTCTTCTGTTCTTGTAAAAACCACCCAGCTTCAGTTTCGCCTTCAGTTTTTCCTTCCTTGAACTTCTGTGACATTTGCACAGATATTTACGTGGCGAGTGCCAAATGACAGCAGAGCCTCATCACCCCCCCGCCTCTTTTACCATTTCCACAAGCGTGTGTTTGTGCTTGCGCCACTTGTGGCCTTTGTGTCCCACACCAAGGGGAACGGAGCTCGGAGGGACAGTGGAAGAGAGACGATGATGACAGGAGCAGGAGGAGCTTTTATTTTCTACTGCAGCTTTTCATCAAAGCCCCTTCCCACACGGCCACCACACAAACACCCCACCCAGCTCAGGTCAACATTTACATGGGTGGAATTAGCCTATATGCTTCCCACTGATATGCGCACACACATACAAACACAAACACACACTTGGATTTAACTTTGGTACAAGCTTAAGCTGGTCATGGAGCTGTTGGATGAAAAAAGAATCACATCAACTTCCCTTAGGACCTAAATTTAGAGTGTGTGTGTGTGTGTGTGTGTGTGTGTGTGTGTG